GTGGTCAAGGAGCGGCTGCAGCACAAGGGGCGGCTTTGCCCGTTCGCCAGCCGGCACCCTCCTTGTCCCGGGTTGGACGGCAGCGGACGCCGACACCCGTTGTTGACGTGTAGCCGCCTATGAGGCTCTCCTTGGTTTGTTTTCTACCACACTCAGAGTAGGACAAAGCAAGCTACAAAAGTCGTCAGTTTTTACGTGGAGTCGATACGTACCCTGTTGCACGTTGCTTGTTGATAGTAGCGTAGGCAGCGGTGGCGTTATATCATGCCAATGGGGCGGGGGGGGGGCGGCGGGGGGCGTTTGACCGAAACCAGGGATGTCGTGATTCTGTCCCCGGGTGACCTTTTTTTTTTTGCGATAAATGTTTCTCATTCATGTCTGAATGCTCCCTCCACATTTTATGTCGTGGGGATGTATGAACAGTCCAGAATAGACTATCCAGGGTTGGTGGTGTACGGGGCTGATTCTTGCCGTAGCGGCACGCAAAATACCGAAAATATACCCATTTTTGAGCAACTATTTTTCGACCGTAACGACTCCTTTCGGTGTGATTGTTTTTTTCGTGGTCGGCTATTGACAGGAGCAACCCGTTTATGCCCCAAACCTGTTATTTTTATTCGTTTTCGATGCACATATCACGCCGTACAGGCAAACGGAGGCAAATCCCGCCTCCCACATCTGCGTCAATAACCCGGGGATATCCAATTTTCATCCCCTGGTGGCACCGAAAAAAAACAAGAATCGATTTTTCTTCACGACCTTTGTGTTGGGCGCATGTGTGCCAAATCTTGGGTCTTGAAACGGTTTCAAACCCCCGCAATCAACCAATCGTCAAAATGGTTGTTAATACCCCCCGGGCCGTTTTACCCTGAAGACCTCAACTTCAACTTGGGCAAACGGAAACAGTTGTGCCTCGTCACTAACGACGATTTTTTTTGGGGGGACAGATAGGTGGTGATGTTTACTATCGTTCGATACCTAAATATCTTCGTTNTCAACCAATCGTCAAAATGGTTGTTAATACCCCCCGGGCCGTTTTACCCTGAAGACCTCAACTTCAACTTGGGCAAACGGAAACAGTTGTGCCTCGTCACTAACGACGATTTTTTTTGGGGGGACAGATAGGTGGTGATGTTTACTATCGTTCGATACCTAAATATCTTCGTTGTTGGTTTTACTGCCGAAGAACGAGCTTTTGGCGCGGGAGGTGGCTTAGGTGGTTGTTAATACCCGCCGCTACTCTAGAGTTAGGTACAAAAGCATCTGTATAGGCAGACACNATCCCGCCTCCCACATCTGCGTCAATAACCCGGGGATATCCAATTTTCATCCCCTGGTGGCACCGAAAAAAAACAAGAATCGATTTTTCTTCACGACCTTTGTGTTGGGCGCATGTGTGCCAAATCTTGGGTCTTGAAACGGTTTCAAACCCCCGCAATCAACCAATCGTCAAAATGGTTGTTAATACCCCCCGGGCCGTTTTACCCTGAAGACCTCAACTTCAACTTGGGCAAACGGAAACAGTTGTGCCTCGTCACTAACGACGATTTTTTTTGGGGGGACAGATAGGTGGTGATGTTTACTATCGTTCGATACCTAAATATCTTCGTTGTTGGTTTTACTGCCGAAGAACGAGCTTTTGGCGCGGGAGGTGGCTTAGGTGGTTGTTAATACCCGCCGCTACTCTAGAGTTAGGTACAAAAGCATCTGTATAGGCAGACACATTCTTAACTTTATGTGGAATGTGGCCTTCACAGGGAACGTGGCGCAGTGTCGTTTGACAAGTTGCTGTTTTTAGAAAGCACTTCGCTGCTGGTTTAGGCGACTTGAATACAGACTACGTATGCACAGCTGTAGGACTGTTGTACACATACACGCACCACCATTTTTTTTTTCTTTCAACAGTTGGAGTCAATAGTCTACTCTGTAGATTTGAGTGTGGCTGTTTCCCGCTCATTTTGAAATCTACAATGTTATGTCGTTCTTCGTGTAGGTGAAACGCGTTTAAGGGGAGGGGGATACATAGGATAGTAGGTTAGGAGTGATATTGATTTACAGCAATGGAGTTTAGTCTTTCTTGTGTGTAACGTATCATCGAGGCAAATGAACAGGCGGCGGTCAGCAAAAGTCAATGTAGGTGGAACTTCCCTGTTTTTTTTCGAGCGGGGTGTGTCGAAGAGTGTTGTCGAGACCGTTTGCAGCGTGTCTCAGCCATGTTGTAGAGCATCCTTCATGAAGAGCAGTAGCAGCAGCAACGAGTAGTACACGATTGTAGTGGATCTTAACTGGTACACGACGAAAGGTACACACGCGTTGTATCCAAGTACACACCTGGGAGTTGATACATTAGGCTTATTTGGCACGCCGACGCGTGCCCCAGGCATACGCACACAAGCCCGCCGCAGGCGAAAATGATGGGGTCAAGCAAAATCTCAGGCATATGCCTGACACCAGATCGCATGCCTGAGATTTTTGATACACGTCTGGGCTGTTGCCTGAAACAAAAGCTATACAAGCTTCAAGAGTAATGTTCCCAAGTATAGCGACGGGTCATATTGGGCTATTGTCGTCGTGGCTTTTCTTCGTTTTGTGCCTGGAGCTGCCTCGAAGAATGTAGTAGCAGTCAGGCAACAAAATACCGTCTCAGGCATACATCTGATAGAAATGACCTCTCAGGCAGCACGTCAGGCGTGCCCGAGAGGGTTCAAGAAAGGGGCTCTCATGCAAAAATTCAGGCATGCCTGATCGAGCTGAGATTACCGCACGTCACCACCGGAACAATCACCGCGACATCATCATGACTATTTCGAAGGCCACTCAACACTACTTTAACACCCGAACGAAAAGTATAATCCCAGAAAAACAAGCAGCAAATCATCCGCAACATGATAGTCTACCATCGGCAAGACGCAGCCGCAGACATCGCCCCCCCCCCCCCCCCCCCCCCCCCNCCCCCCCCCCCCCCCCCCCCCCACTCCCCCACACGCACGCACAAAAAAGCACAACCAACCTCGCGCTGGGCCCTGACGCACAGTCTCCTCCGTGTCCCTCCCCTCGAAGGAGTTCGCGGTCTGGGAAACCTGGCCCGCCTAAGACTGGCGTCCTTTGGTTCGCTGGCCGGCTAGTGCGGTCGATGCTGACGAAAGCAAGAGACGCGCACATCTGCCCCATCAAAGTACCGTGTAGACATTCAAAATTCGATTAACCTACTGGTACAAGGAGCAGCGGAAGGCTCGCTCCTCACCGGCCTCCTGAAATACTGGCGCCAAAATTGTCCGCACCTGCTGTTGGGCCTATGTGCTTCGAGTTATCGAGTCGATTCGTCACATTCGATGCGCACAAACTGGCAAAAGGAAACGTGTCGACACGCATAGCAACTTGATACACTGCTGAGAATACTTCTTCGAGGGTCCTGCTGCCGCCACCCTCGGCCGAAGCTGCTGCCGCCGTTTCTCCTTCCCGCTGAGGTTGCCGCTACACGCCCGCTGCCACTGACTCGCTGTGGTTGCGCCCCTCAAGTCTGGTAAACTCACGGTCAATTCTCATCATCTGCCTGGGAAGCTTCCACAGCCATCGGGGCGACACCACCAACGTCACCGTCCCTCGCGTCTGCGGTCTCGCAGTTCTCGCACACGAAACCGTCACCAGCGATATCATCGTCACCGCTAACGCCATATTCGTCCATGCTCTCGTCCTCATTGACATCCTCGGTGGTCCTCTCGCTAGCAGCAAGCTCGCGCTCAACAGACCCATGGCCAGAGACGTTGCCAGCAGCAGCAACGAGGGGGGGCACCGAGGCAACACCGGCGGCCAACTCTTGTGGAGTGGCAGCAGCAGCAGCAGCGGCAATAGCATCGTCATCACCAGCACCCTCGTCACCAGCAGCAGCACCAGCAGCACCATCAGCATCAGCACCAGCACCAGCAGCACCAGCAGTAGTAGTAGCAGCAGCTGCAGCAGCAGCAGCAGCAGCAGCAGCAGCAGCAGCAGCAGCAGCAGCAGCAGCATCACCCGAACCATCGCCACCAGCGACAACCTGGGGCGCCGAGGCGTCGCCGGGGACGGACTCTTGCCGAGTGACATCAGCGGCGTCAGCAGTGGCAGCAGGGCCAGCAGCGCCATCAGCAGCAGGAGTGGGGTTGCCCTCTAGCTCTTCTTCGGCCGGCGGCGGGTGGTCTTGCAGGTACTGTGCGATCAGCGGCCAGAATACTCGGGACACGGTGCTGTAGGGCGCGACCAGTCACGAGGGGGGGGGGCGGCTAACGAGTCATGCCTTTGCAATAGTCTTCATCTTTCAAAACTGCATTGAGCTCTGTCAATAATAAACAGCATTTTGTTGTGCCGTACTCACCAAGGCTAACAAGCGACAATCATATGGTCACGAGCAAAAACGACAGCACAAGCAGCAACAAATGTTGGAGAGATGAACGAGAGGTGGCCCAGAAAGACGAAAAGTGGGTCAGCGTAAACACTTGAAGGGCGAAGCGGCAGGGCAAGAACGTGAGAGAACGAAAGAAGAATGCCGAACGGGGCACGGCTACCGGGTTCAACCTACAACAGGTGTCGTTGCTTGCAAAAGCAAATACCTACCGTACCTGGTACATATGTGTACACCGTGTAAATTTCATACATTCCATTGCATGTCGCATGAGACTGAGCACCTTGTCTCCCACGCCCAAAGCTGCATCGTACGGTTTGAGAGCCGTACTTGCGAGTTAATAGTTTCACTATTCCTGTCTTCGCTACAGGTAAACCTGAGCAGGCAAGGGTTAGGGTTAGAGTTCCTGCGCTGCCTTCTGCATTGCCGCGCTCTCTACCGCCGATCGTGAGAATTGTTCTCCCAGAAAAGAAATACGGCATGTCACTTACCCACACTATTGGATATTGGGCTACTAGGACACTATTGTAGGTCCCTTCCGCAGGTGTCAGGCATACAAACGTCATCCTAAGCCGTCTTCCTAACACCAACCCTAGAAACAACGGTGAAGAGAATGCCAGAGAAAAAACAAAAACGCCAAGGCAACGGCCACAGCAACAACGCCGATGAAAGTGAATACAGTTTATAGGCTAAGGTATACTGTCAATAAGCCCGGTATTCAGCCAATTTTGTTCCCAGTCACTGGAAAGACTTCAACACATCGCTTCGACTGTGGCATTATCTCGAACGGGCGGTATTTCTTTTAATTGTATTTACATGTTCGAAACCACCATCGTCGTCGACCACTCACTTCATGCAGCAGGAGCTGTCGATGAAGACGGCGCCAATTAACGCCTCGAGGACGTCGGCCGGGTGCTTCGGGGCCGTCCCTGTTCCGCTAACGCCATTGTTCTGCCAACAGCCAACAGCCAACAGCCAACAGCCAACAGCCAAGACAACATGACATGGCCAAAGAAGCACAACACAGCAGTCACACGGAAAGGAAAGGTTGGCGCAGGTAGGCAGGACCGAGAAGAAGAAACGGATAGTAGGAAGATTTCCACAAACCTTGGGGTTCTGCTCGATGGGAGCTCTTGATAAAGCGGGCGACGTTTTCGTGGCGCTGTTGGATGGTAATCTTGAGGAGGAAAATACGGTAAAAAATGCCACTTTGAAACCGGGATGGACACCTTTCGTACGTACCATGCCAAACCTCCAACGAGATAGTGACCACTCCCGGCAAAAAAAAAAAAACGAATATCCGGGCATTCTCACCATTCCGTGGGTATCAACCTCACTGCGTCTGCCATTCCTCACTCTGATGGAGAGGAGATTTCTTGCAAGCATTGCACCGTGTCCAACAATTACTCCGGGCCAAAAATTGCCGAACGGATACTAGAAGGTACTGAGCGGAGCCCGGAGCGGTTATTTATGTGAAAACAACAACAACAACAACAACAACAACAACAACAACAACAACAACAACAACACACTTGGCCATTCCTGCACGATACCTCGATGAAGGCATGGATGTGTCCGAGGATCTTGGGCGAAGCCCTAAGCACGTGGTGCACGTCCAGCCGCAGCGCGATCACCCACAGGCTTGCGTTGCAAACGCAGCTCGACTGAGGTAAACGAAACATACGGCAAAATGAATACGGAATTCGTACGTGAACTAGGGCGGTGGATACTCGGCCAGTAGTGAGATAAGATATACACCCGCCGTGAGATGAGAAGACACAGCAACAAACCTTCGTCTCAAGGTGTGGAGCCAAGAAGATATGAAACTTAACCACAACCCCCAACACGACACCATAACACACCATAACATACATATTGAACTGAACAATCAACCAATGCACAACCACAGTGTAGAAACTGGACTGAACAACAACAACAACCGATACGCAAAGAGAGTATCGATTACGGTCACCTTAATCCGTGTGAGCTCGGCGGGGGTAAACGCGCTTGAGGCAAAGTAGAGGTGTGCGGTCACCATCCAGCCAAGCACCGCGTCGCCCAAGAACTCCAGCCGCTGATAGTCTGCAAAAAAACAAAAAAAAATCGTCAAAGCAACGTTGGTGAAGAACAAAACAAGCGCAAACACCAAACTGTCAAACTGATCATGAAACTTACGATATTCATCGGGCCATTGCTCCCTTGCCAAGAGAAGGGCAAACAAGGGTATGAGTTCCAGAAAGAATACATCAACACCGAAATAGCCGTTGCGTTCGAAGCGCGACTCACCCTGTGCAGGGACGGTCCCCGGAGGGATGTCGTTGCTGCTCACGCGTTGGGCTGCGGCCCTGGCCCTCTCAAGCATCCGATCGGTTCCTGTTGTTGCCTTCTTGGCCCCTTCCGCGTTCTTCCAGTTCTGCGATGACACACCAGCATACCACGGAGTGTTACCGATACCAAGTGTGTAGCATCGTCTCGTTAAACTGCGCCATGAATCATGACATGCCAACACATCACGGTAGTCAACGATTCAAAATGTGAAGCGTCCGTCTTGTGCCGCGATACATACTCGTGCCCCGTGCCAGCACAATCACACCGCCCTGCCCGCGTCATTTTCCCGGACACCGCACCTAACGGTTTCGAAAAATAGCGCTCAGCAACTGATGCAACGTATCCTGATCTTACACCACGCCAAAACAACGATGTTATTGTTACATTCTGAGCGTTGAAACACCGCACAGTGTAATGGCAGGCCCATAACAAGATAAACGTACAACATTGCGGACGGCATGGTATGACTCTAACGTATAACTGCCGTTTCGACATGCACCGGCTTCGTTTCGCCCACCCACTGGGACGTACCGCGACTTTGGCCGTGATGGAATATCCGCAATCGACTCTACGGGTTAGTCTAACCACGATTGAGGTGCCCCAATGCCTGTCGTTGTCATGCCCAAAAAATCGGTACCACGCCGTCCCCATGCACCTCACCCGCACCCCAAATCCTCTTGGCCAATGACCACACCCTCCGATCCTGCTCTAGCGTTCATAGCACATCATCAAATGCCGACGAACTACTACAACACAACGAGGCATTCCGTGCTGTATTATTTATTCTTTTGTCGTCGCCTTCACTTCAAATCAGCGCTGGAACACATGCTAACAGCACGCAATACCCATTCTTCATGGAGGTTGGGATAACAAACATGACAGTGGATTCAACAATACCGGAAAGCTCTCGACGAGACGGTTCCAACGTGGCCATTTTCGGCGCCATCGCTGCTTCTCCTGCCTTATTATCGAGCTTCAAACATTGGTCGACGGGGGTGTCATATCTTACGCGACCTACGGTAGGGCACTCACCCGATCGAACATGGTCCAGGAAGGGTGGGTGATGGCCTGCATGCACAGCCATGGATAGCGGAAGGTGTAGCCCAGCCGCTTCTCGAGTAACCGGATGTTACCCATCAGCCTCGCGGAAGGCTTCGTCGCCACGTACACCTATCGCGTGGGGGTGACAGAGGTGTTTGGCAAAAGGAAATCTCGACAAAGAGATGTTTCGATGCTGTCAGCGACTGCTGCGGCAAGCAAAAATCAATATTGACGAAAAATAAACAAGAGCGCGGGGAAAGTAGTAGGAACCAGCAGACATACCTCCCGCCAATAAAAGAAGGGAACGAGTATGCGTGGACGCAACAGGAAAGCCTAGCCTCAACGGAATGCAGCAGAGCGGAAGGCCTCAGCGACCATCCTCACTGTAGAAGCTCACGATTTCGTCTGCTATGTGTTGCGGGACACCAAGCGAAAACATGATACAGGAAAACCGATCCGCAGGAGCCGACAAAAGCTCGGAATGAATGACCCAAGGGCCAAACGAACCCCACTCCTCACATCTAACGTGAGCCTGGTTCATGTCAACCAAAGCGGGCACACACCATCACAATATGAAGGGGAATGGACGAAGGTCTGGTGGCAGTGCCGTATGCACTACTGTCGTTCGGGCATCACCGCCACCAACACTCGCGTTCTCTGACGCCGCTCGGCGAGGAAAGCCCACGCGATGGGACAGGCTCGAAAAGTGGAGCAATGACATTGGAGTTCTGTCCCGCCGAAAGGCTACAAATTCTGGGGCGATGGCCATCACGCAGGTCAACCATCGATATCCCCTTCTGCTCCCCACTCAATTAACACTCGTCCACTTTATTGTGCAGGACCTTTACTCCTCTCGGATCCTCTCGTAGGATATGTAAGATGAAAAAAATGATATAAATATGAAAGTTGAAGCCTTCCCCGACCCCTTCCCGACCCCCATCTTCGCTAGCCCCGACCCACCTTCGGCAACACGCCGTTCTCCGCCAGGAACTCTGCGCTCATGAGCGGCTCTCTCCGGATGGGCCATCTAGCAGACCCCTTGAGCCCTTCCAAGCATAATCCCGCCCACTTCTGCGCCGTCGTGGTTGCCGTCGCCTTGGTCGCCTTTTCCTTCGTCGCCGCGGCCTCCTTGTCCTCCGTCCCCGCCTCCTTCGTCTCTCCCGCCTCCTTGTCCTCCGTCCCCGCCCCCTTGGTCTCTCCCGCCTCCTCGGCCTGTTCCTCTGCCGTTGCCTTTTGTTTGCTTGACGTTTCATCGTCTTCCTTCTTCTCCTCGCTGCCGCCGCCGTCGCCAACGGGGGAGCCCCCGGTGGCGTCGTTGGCGTCGATCTCCATGGCAACTGCCGCAGAGCTGTCTGTAGCCGCCGCCGCCACCGCCGTAGTGCCTTTCATCTGGACGGGCGGCGTTGCTTCACCTTCGCCCTCTACCACCCCTGGGCTCGTGGAAGAAGCAAGTGGGACATTGCTGGCGTCCTGGCCGCTTCTTCCGCTGTGGCCTTTGTCTTGGATGGTTGCGATTTCCGTCGCAGCTGGACCATCGCCACCTCCACCTCCCCCTCCACCACGCTCACTGCTACCGCTGCGCCCACGACCGCTTCCGCCGCGACCGCCACGGCCTCTCATCGCGCCAGAGGACGAAGACATGCCCGCGACTCCTCTCCCCCTGGCGTGAAGCCCGACCCTCCCGCGCCGCGGGGTGGACAAGCGGCCGGGGCGCCTACTTCTGCCGCCACAGTCGCCGTCGCCGCCGTCATCGCCGCCGTCCCACCCGCCGAACTTCTCGGGGTCCCCCCACAGGTACTCCGGGGGGTCCCACAACCAAGGGCGTCTCCGATCGTCCACCTCGGGGATGTGGTCGCGGAGCTGCGCGCGGTGGGGCAGGGATTTTTTTCTACCCCCGTCGTCGCCTTCGCCGTCGGCGCCTTCGACCGCGGCGCCGGCAGCGGCTTCGGGGAGGGGATGTGCCGCGGGATCCTCGACCGCCACCGCCGCGGCGGCGGCGGCTCTTGCCGCGGCCCTTGCGGCACCGGCAGCGGCGGCGGCGTCCGTCACGGCGCCCCCTCCTTCATCCCCCGAATCAGGCCCTTCGTCATCGCCCTCCTCCGCGACCGCAGCGCAAAGCTCCATCTTTTCTGCCTCCGCCAGTTCTCTCCCAGCCGCCGCTGCCGCCACCGCCGCCGCTTCCCCTGACCCCGTGCTGCCGGCTGGGCTGTGCCCCTCCGGTGTTCGGATACGCTTGGAAGACGGCATGAGCACGTCCTCCTCGCTCGAGCTGTTTTTCCTCTTCGGGGATTGTCCCGACTCAGAGCCGCTAGCAGCAGCCCTGACAACTGGCGACACGAGGCGGCCGCCGGTTGCTTCCTCGTCCATGGGATCGTCCAATTGTGCAGAAACGGGTGCCGCTCTCGAACAGCCGGCGTCGTTACCGCTTCTGCCTTCCGTATCGCCAGCCGAGGAAGAGAGGTGGCCTCCTCCGCCAACTTTTGTCTGCGCTAGGTCGGGCTGTGCCTGGAGGAGAACGGCGGCAACCTCGGGCGCGGCCGTGGCGGCCTCAGCCGCCATCTCTCGGAAAGGCGGGGACAACACCGTCGTATCTACTGCCGGCGTCGATGCTGCCGGTGCTAGTGCTGGTGACGCCGCTGTCGTAGTCGAAACTCGTTCCTCGTGCGGAGCCGGGCCATTGCCCGCCCCTGCCCTACCTCCTGCCTGTTGTTGGCTGTCGACGGCGGCTGACGTCTCCGACGCTCCAGTCGATTCGCCGAGATCGTTTCCCTTGGACTCACCGCCTTCTTCCTGCGGGGCGGCGTCGTCGTCGTCGGCGGCGGCGGCGTTGGCGGCAGCGGTGGCCGCGGCCTTGGCGGCAGCCTTGACTGCCGCTTTTTCGGCCGCGGCGACGGCTGCTGCAGCGGCCTCCGCCGCGTACTCCTTGGCCTTCTCGGGGTCGTTGGACGACTCGAGGGTGGGCAGTCCGAGCCACTCCATGATGTACGCCGCGCTGCGGTTGCCGCCCGCAACGAGGGCCGCTCTGTTTGATCGCGGGCAAGCGATCGTGACACAGATGGACATAAAACATAAAAACAAGAGCGTGCGTAACGGGTGAGGTTTTTCATCTTGTACCGACATTTTTGTCCTTCGCTGTGCAAGCGCTGTGTCCTCCTAGTTGCATGCCCATTCGTTCCTCGGCAAACGGCCGCGATTCATCCTTAAGAGGAACACAAGGACGACGAGAGACTGTTGTTCACTAACCGAAAGTTACCTCATCACGTATTTCTTGACTCCTTTCAAGTGAACATCTATTGCAGCGTACCAGTTCCAACGGGGTGGAAACAGGCCGATCGACAAATGGATGCAGTGGAACGCGCGGTATCTCTCCATCTACGCGTTGTATTATCACCCCGACACGCAACCAAGCAAGCTATACATGGCAAAAATACTTTCGATTGTCCAAAGGTATTTCCATTCGCATCAGCGCTCCTTCCACAGCTCGGGTGTTTGGTATCATCCACGGACGGCTGTGACAGAGTCCGATACGGCTGCCCTCTGGACCCCGAACCTTTTGGAACCAAAATCCCTCCGACAACCTCCGGTTTTGTCCCAACAACGTCGAAGTATCGTGAGATCTCCGACGCCAAATCTCCGATCATGTACCTACGCTCACCCTAGGAGGGCTTCGACAACATCAGCGATGGTCTTCTTGCTGGCCTTAACCGGAGGCGGAAGAGGCAGGAGAGAAGGAGACCACATGTCGAAGGGCCGCCCAAGGATTGACCTCGGAGGGTACATGAACTCCTGCCGACGTAAAGAGTAGCCGAGGCAGTTACATTGTCGTGTCCGCGTTCGAGTTTTCGAGCTTCCCACGGGCTACGTCACCTTGATGAACGTCAAATATGAAACGGGAATGCGTACATCGATGCTTGTATTACCTGCCGCAGACCATCAGCGCACTTGGAGGTTACACTTGTAGCTGTTTACTTTGAGTGAGGCGAGGGGGCGACGAAGCTATTAATAGATTCATGCGCTACTCCGTAACCGTGTGACAGAAAGTTGTGTGGACAGAAAAACGCAAGCGTCCTTGGTGACGTGCAGGCAGCTAGACACGTGGGGCGTACCCTCAGGCCTCGACCATCAGCACACTTGAGGAGGCGCGCGTTGGAAACGACGTTCTTCCTGAGCAGCGTCATCATCCCCTCCTCCATCAACACCGGCTTGTCCTGCTTGGTTGAAACATCAAGAAGTGAAATTGTTCGAGGAACTGATGCGTGAGTGACCAATAGGTTTCCAGGCGAACAAGCCACGCAAAAAACAGTGTCTCCAGCCACGCGGCACGGGCAAAAATGTCGCAACACATGCAAGTGTCTCGGCAGTGTTCGGAATTGTATTATCGCTGTCCTATCAACCCCGTCATTTTCCCATTCCCAAAACGGACGCCGCGCCCTGCCCTTTTCTCGGCCGGGAACATGCGAGACATTCGTTCCTCGAGAACGAAACGGATAATCACGCAACACGCTCAAGGTCCGTATTTTCATGTCCGCCAGTCACCACCACCCATCCGCTGGCCCAGAGGGAATCCCAGTAGCCTTCGAAGGGTTTTTCGTATAATGTAAGCATGTCGGATAAAGCATACAAGAGGGGAAGTTGGCTTCGGGTTACCGTATATGACACAAGATTTACACACACCCTTGACCGATTTTCGAAGCTCGATTTCTCAACTGCAGCAACAGTCACAGCGCCGAAAACGGCGGCGTTGAAACCGTCTCGTCGAGAGCTTTTCGAAAATGTATCATTTCGTTTATGCATCCTCTTCGTCGTGGAGTAATCGAGCTTTGAAAATCGGTTCAGGGGGTGTTTTATCTTGTGTCATATACGGCAGGGATATGGTCTGCGCCCCCCCTTCCTGTTATGTTTGCTCATTATGACACAAGATAACACACCCCCTGGACGATTTTCAAATCTCGATTTCTCGACAGCAGAAAGAGTTACAGCGCGGATAACGGTGGGGTTGAAGCTGTCTCGTCTAGAGCTTTGCGAAAATGTATTGTTTCATTTATGCATCCGCTTCGTTGTCGCATGATTGAGCTTTGAAAATTGGCCCAGGGGGTGTGTTATCTTGTGTCATACACGGTAATCGCGCGAAGGCTGTCCGGAAACCGTTGTTTGTGGCGCCCCCAGCTTCAGAGAGATGCCAAGTCGACGGTGCAAATGACGACGGCATGCATGACCATATGCATGAGACCCAAACCTCCCCCTTCACCCCTCCCCCCCAGCAAAAATCAGGCTCAACAAAGTCCCACTTGCCTGGAAAACAACGAACCCGGCGTAGTAGTTTAGCCACGCGTCGCCTAACGTCTCCAGTCTCTCGTTCACCGGTCTGCGTTTATGATGCGTTTGGTCCATGCGGCAACACAAAAACCGACGCGGGAAGACGATTGAGTGGACGGCGGGGTGGGGCGGATAGGGTCCTATCGATCGATCCGCGTTCAAAATCGATCCATCCGAGTTCAAAGGACTGATGACTCGTGTACCGGGGGCAGAATGAGTCGGGTGTGGACGGGGAACTGGGGAGAGCTAGAATCGGCAAGGCCATTTTACGGCAGAAGGTACACGTTTTTATCGAGCAGTACCAATCTAACACAAAACGACGCGAGGGGGCACATGTTGGTCTCATCTCGTATCCGATGGAATCGGCTTCCAATGCCATATCGCGCTTCCGAATCTCAACCGAGCTGCTTCGTTAAGGGAGTGCACCCCCCCCCGCGTCAGTCTCACCTGCGAAGCGAGCAATCGAGCAGCGCCATGGTGTCGGTAACCGCCCCTTCCTCCCCGCCGTTCCACTTGATTACCCCCACCGCCGCGGCCCTCGCCGCCGCCTGCGCGCCCCCCTTCGCTGCCGCCTCCACCCCGATCTTCCCTGCCCCCTTACCCCCCCTCGTCGCCGAATCCCCCGACACTGGTCCCAAACCATTACCAGGCGCCGACATGATCCCACTCGGCGCGCCCAGCGCCGATGGTTCCTCCGGTTTATCAGCATTGCATCCGGACCCGCCGGGGCCGGACCCTGTACCAGCGCCTTCACCCGGGATGCACCACGTGCCGCAAGGAGGCCAGGCGTCGGCTGCGGCCGCGTCATGTTCTGGTACGGAAAGAAGGCCACCTGCTTCGTCGCTTTCGGCGACGGCATCGGCGCCGGTGCCGCCGGCGGCAGCAGCGCTGCTCTTCTCTTCTTCGCCGTCTTGTTCCTTCTCCGGGCCTCCGCCCCGCTCCTTGCCGCCGGTGCTGCCCGATGCAGTCGTTGGTGGTGATACCGTTGCCGCCGCCTCCTGCGCCGCCCCCGAGGGCGACAACCGGAGCAACTGCGACGACTCAGACGGGGCGGGAGCGGCGTCCGAAGCCGCTAACCCTTGAGCCGAAACCGCTTGTCCAGAACTCGCCTGTTCCGGGGAATTGCACCCTACCTCCTCCTCCTCCTCCGCAGCAGCAGCAGCAGCAGCAGCAGCAGCAGCAGCAGGGCCCAACACCAACTTTTCGTTGGTGCGTTTGTCAGCGCCTGGGGGGGTGCGGTGGTAGAGGGAGGTCTGCAGGGCCGGCAGGAAGAGAGACTCGTGCAGCACGAAGCAGAGGAGTTGGCGCTCCAAATCGAACATGCGGGGCACAATCTGCGGTAAATGGAGGCGTCGTCGTTAGGCGTAAAGCGAAAGGAGCGGTGGAGAGGAGTTAGGGCAAGATGCCACAAGCGTAGCAAGCAGCGCTGGTCAGAGTGTGAGATAGGTTGGCTGTCGATGACACTACTGTTGTCGGCAGGTGGGGGTACTTGGCTGGATCAGCGTGGCACAACGCCAGTGCAGCGTAGCAAGGAGAGCGACACAGACATCACGTGCCAGGAGCGGCAGCAGCTGCCTCAGCAACAATAGCAGCACAGGAAATAATCGGTGGAAGGAGAGGTAGCAACGAACTTTTTCAATATGTAGCACGGCACAACAAGGAGGGGCAACAGAGGCAGCGCAGAGGCCCCAGCAACAGCAGCAACAGCGGCAGCGAGAACTTGACGACAGCAACTCGAGCAATTGCAGCACGGAAGAGGCAGCAGACAATAACAACAAGGGCAGCAGCACGACACTCACATGCAAGACGCTAATGAAGACCCTCCGGGTGCAACACACAGGCTGGCAGTATTGCTCCACAAGCAGCACTGGCTGCCCGGGCCCAACCTTGTGATTGTTGAGCTTCAGGGTAGACACACCCGCCCATCCTCTTGCTTCATCTTCCTCCTCCTCCTCCCCGCCGTTCTCAACCCGCTGCGCCTCGAGGGTAGCCGCTGCCCCAGCAGTCACCACTGCCGCTTCTACGACCAGCCCGCCCGCCGCCGATTCCGCAGACGCGGCTGGTCTCTCAGACGGAGCTTCGACGACCATCGCGTCGTCTTCACCATCGTCTTCTGATTCCTGCATCGAAACCGCATCTTCTTCATCATTGTCCTCCTCCTCTTCCTTGTCTTCCGCATCAACGCCTTGCTGTTCTGTTCCCGCCGCATCCGCTGCAGGCGAAGGCGCATCTCCTGGTTCTTCTAGGTTCTCCCCCTTCTCGGTAACACCCATGGCGCCGTCAACCTGTCCGTCTTCCTCCAATGATTTTTTGCTCGACCGTTTCACCTGGTAGAGCGAGGTCAGCGGTGGGCTGTTTAGTGCCGGTATGCATGTCTCGGAGACTTGACCGGCAATATGCCGGACACCGGCACTATTTCAAGTACAGAACGGCTTGGTGATACAGTCTGTGCCAGCCCAACATACCCGTACTATACGGGGCACCGGTCTTATTCTACCGGCACTAAACAGCGCCCAGCACCACTGTGTACAAACTCTCAGGAGGGCGACTGCGGAGTTGATGGAACGTCGGAGGACTGCTAGTGTTCGCAGCGTTTTCCCGGGATGGCAACTCTTCTTCCCATCGCCATCGCCATCGCCATCGCCTTGAGAGTGTGGCATACCCGTTATCCCTGCTACGTGATCGCACCCAGACTTCTTCGCGGGGAACAGCTACAGCACACATGCTGGTGCGTGTAAAACGGCCCTGCTGCTACAGTAGCCCAACATAGATTCACATGTATTCACCCGTATTCGCCGCACACCTCGACTGTCACATATCTGCAAAGCCTAGAACGAGTAGCCACCCTAGTATAGTATTACGTGCATTATTAACTCAGCCAGACGTTCAACACATAAGAGTTCTCGCCAGATCAGACGAGGCACCGACCGGGAAACCGAGCAGGAGCGTCGCATTGGGGGTGTATTCACGTAAAAACGCATGCCGTCATCGGTAGAACACAGACCTCGCATCCCTGCAATGCCAGGACGGAGCGGTATACCAGGTTTCGGCGGGCCCAGGCTATCGCATCACGTGTGACCCCGGTTGGGTCGTCTAGCTGGTAGAAGTGGAGGATAGAGGCCAGAGGGGCAGACGACAGAATTCAATGATGGGAGAAAAAAAAAAAAACAAGGATGAAGACCATGCTTGCATTTGCCACTGAGGGGGGGGGAAGGGGCTTCTAACCTTCACCCTGCTTCGGACGCCCGCGTCAGGGTCCATGACTTTCTCCCCTCGAACCAGATGCTGCGCGAACGAGTGCTTCAGGGCCGGCGCCGGCACGCCCAGCAGCAGGCGCTGAGACTTGTCGGCGGCGTCGTAGTCCGGCTTTCGCACGCCGTGGCCCACCTGCGCATGAGGGGGGGGTGCACACACGCAGCCAGCGTTATGTGTGCCATCTAGGACGGTAAGGTAAGTTCGACCTCTTTGGTTCCCTCCTGCCACACGATGTCCTTGTTCTAAGAGGCGCTGTCAATACGCGTATTAGTCACTACCGATGGTCACTACGGGGAGCGCAGGCGACAAGAGCGATAGCCTAAAAAAAGAAAAAGCTAGTCTTGCCGACGATACATCACGCGCCACCGATGAATAACTCATTTTACATCTCCCCTGTGGAGCATCCCAACAGCGACTTTAAGGACTTAGCGTACGATAGTTAACCGAGCACCTGTTCTTATCGTCAACTGGTTACGTTTCTCTTTCCGTGGGCCTGAAACTCCTTCACTCCCAGGCCCTTACGTGATGGTTCGTACTGTATCGCTGGTGGATCATTGCCTGTATACGCCTCACCGCTATGGCCCCTTGAACATCGCCTAAGAAGTCACCGCGGGCAGTAGAAATAACAGAGAAATTGGTTCTGAAATAAATATTGCGGAACTTGACGATACCACCCGAACGTATACATCCGTTGTCGAGGAGTCTATCAAAATACGCACAGAGGGGCCCCGCAACCTGCTACTCACCGCCAACACCCCCTTCACGCGGCCCATTCGGCCAGCATCGTGCGACGTGATCGTCTCGCACGGGAGTCCAGCGTAAGGTCCCTGTGAGGCAGGAACAATAAAAAGCACGGCGGGCGGTGTGGGGGTGAGGTGAGGAGGGTAGGAATAGTTATTCTTGAAGGAATAGTAGTAACACTAGGGAGATACGTCGCTTCGAGAGGTCAGTCCAGTCGGGGGTAGCCCTCTAGCCCTAACGCTAAGGTTATCCCCAGACAACCGTAGACAACGACTCCCCAAATTTTCCCACGGAGCAACGACCACGGCGCGACCAAGGGGCTTGGTTGCTGAATCGAAATATCGCCCGGCCTCACCCGCCCAAGTCGGACTCAGGCAGCCATCGCCCTCCCCCTGGCACGGCTAAGATTATGGTGGGACCCTCCTAAACGTGACCCAATGGTCTTAACGAGCCACAAGGCGTTCGGAAAAGCGGCGTCGAACAGTTTCAAAACTCAGCAAATGGTGTCGATCGCGCGCCGGTGTCAGACGCAAGGTTTGGCTGCGTTTTGTAGGGCAGCGGACATACTGTAGTGCATCTTTTCAGCGTTCGCATCGACTTACTTGGTCGGACTCAAGGCACCGCCGGAGGTAGACCTCAAGGGTCGTTGTGGTCCTCTCCAGGATGAAGTAGAAACGGCAGGTCTTGTGGCTCACCTGCAAGAAATGCCAGATTGGGTTTGGAGCGAAAAAAAATCGTACACGATACACACCAAGCCTTGCAAGGATTGAGATAAATTCAGGGTTGTGTTCAACAGAGGAAGGCCTAATGATTGTTGTATGCTTCTAAGGAAGGCGATTAAAATTGGGTCTGCGGGTCGGAGCAACGCAAAATTAAGCCAAACAGGAGCTTGACGCATCAACACCTTCAGAGAAACTACAGCATTCTTTCCAAGAGCCTCTGTTGAGAGCCTCTGAAGCACGTGTGGACACCTCTCTCAGAAGTCATCAACATGCTTCTCAACATTCACATCAAGTCACCTGGCTTCTCAAGCTCCCATCAAGCAACACCCCAACAGCCTTCACCAAGAAAAACCTCTTCCCTACCAAACACCTTCTTCCCTGCCAAATACCTCTTCCCTACCAAACACCTTCTCCCTACCAAGTACCTCTGCCTTGCCCAAAAACCTCTTCCCTACCAAAAGACTCCTCCCTGCAAAAGAACTCTTCCCTACCCTCGAGAAGAGAATCCGCCTGGTGTACTGCTCGTCCGTCTTGTCCGGCAGGTGCACTCCCGCGTTGGCCGCTTCGATCGCCGGCCAGTCAATCTTTACCACCCCGTCTCCCGCCGGTCCATCGTCACCGTAGTCCACAGGGACGGCAAGAACGCCTTTGTCCCCTTCAACTCCGGTCTCCTTCAACGATGCACGGGTTTGTTGAAGGCGTAGACAAACCAAAGAGCACGTTTGCAAATTATCGCCCGTGTCGGTGTGTGCCCCACGTCCAGAGCAGCGCGCACGCTCGGGCAACTCACTGCCCCCGGCCTACTCAAGAACAACCATAACCTGCCGAACTAGGACAAACGCTCCGCTTCTCTGGCTTGCTCACGCGAGCTCTGGGGAGAGCTCATCGTACACACCGAACGAAACACATGTAGTGGGGGGCGCTCGGTAATGCCTGTTAAACGGTTTGCTTTGGCAAAATTGGGCGCGGAGAAAACAATTGAAACCCGTCGAGTAAGACGTGCCGAGAGGTGGCTGTCGCCAAAATAGATGGAAGCACGAAACTCACCCACGCAGTAAGTAATGCTCTCCGGCGTACCCCAACCAAAACGTTCTTCGCAAGAACGTCATAGTAGGGGTACGCCGGAGAGCATAGCTTGCGTGGGTCAGCTTTATGTCCTCATCTATTCTGGCGTCGGTCTACCCTTTCGGCACATGTTTGACGCGGCGCCTGGGCTCACAGGAGGAAGGCCAACACAGGGGTTGTTCCAGGTGTTTCTCCGTATTTCCTCCAATTAGGGTGCATGCCTTCAAACTTAACTCGAGAAATGTGAAAAAAAAAGGAACGGGAAACGCAAAACAAAATCGAGAAATGCGAAAAAAAAAAAGAAACGAGAAATGTAAAAAGAAAAAAAACATTACTTACCCGGAAGGGAGACTTGGCCGGGTCGTTTAGAGGCGTTTGCGTCATCTGGTGGGGAATCTCGTAGAGGGCCGCCATGCCCACTGTCTCCTTGTGCCACTGTACTATGGCTGCCATCTGCAGGCGGCGTGCAAACACGGGTCCAAGAATTGTTCGTGGTGACGATCGCCCGGTTGCATCCGTTCATCGAGTAAAACCGGTGCCATGGATTGCTCCCCTTGTGACCATGCAGGAGGAGGTCCGAACAAGAACGATGACATAGGAGCATGCCAGCATCGTGAATACAAGAACGACATACAACAAACATCGCTGAAACTTGCAAGATGACAGCAACCATTATACGACAGGTTCACGGGCATGTGTGCCCCCCCCCTTCTACTCCTTCCCTACGGCGCCCCCCCCGTGTTTCTTCCGCCTCAACTAAAAGCCTGCACACACCAAGATCTCCGTCAATCAACACAAAGGACAACAACAAGCACGAAAAGATAAACACCTGTACAGGATTGAGGTCGACGTCGAAGCTGTCCACTATCCCGACCTTGGCGGCCTGGGCGGCCGTCAGAGGGAGGGGAGCCGCGCTGGCCAACCCCACGAACAGGCGGGGGCCTAGACCCTTCCCGGGTCCCCGCCCCAGGTCCACCTTCAGCTTGGGGTGGAATGATCGTATGTCGGCCTGAGGCGGAAGGGAGAAGACAGCGAGAGGAAGTTGCAGCAGCGGCTACGGTTTAAGAGGTGCTGTTTAAGAGGATACCGATGGAAGGGTACGAAAAAACGGCTCATCCCACAAGCATTTCATATTTTTCATTACACGGCTTAAGAGAACGAGAGGGAGGTGGGGGGGGGAGCGGCAGAGAGAGGAAGGCTTCCCTCAACGAATACATTCCAAACGTCCCTTGTGGTTGCCTCATCCTACCAAGGCACGCTCACCTGCAGCAGCAGCCGAATTCAGGCTGACGCAGACTCGTTCAAAAAAGGAAAAACCCGTGGTGCCTGCTGTAGTATACCATGATAGCACTCAAAAGCACCATCGCACTCTTCCACACCCACGTGAAGACAGGTAGAAACACAGAGCGCACAGCCCATTCGATGAACGAACGCTCACTTCATGCTCTTCCTCCTCGACCAGGACCTCCTCGTCCTCCTCCTCTCCTTCCTCTCCCTCCTTTCCCTCCTTCGCAGCCGCCCTGTCCTCGCCCTGAACCTCGTCCTCCTCCTCCTCCAGAATCTTCTCGCTCCCGTCCAGCTCGGACCTGCGCTTGCGGACTCTCTTCAACGTCGGCACCCAGCCTTCAGCCTCTCCAGCCGGGCTGCGGAAGCAGTAGACCCTCATGCGTCGTTTCGGTCCGGGGTCGTCCTCGTAGCATCCCCGGGTCCGCGCCCCCTCCCACACCGCGAAGCCTGCCCCGGCCGCGGCGGGGCCGATTCCCGGCGCGCCCGGACCGCCAGGTTGGACGTCCCCCCCCCCCTCGCTACCGTCCCCGACGGCACAGGTTGACGGTGGAGACCCTGCTGTTGCCGCTGTCTCGCTTGGAGCGTCAGCTTCAGGACTCTTCGCCTCCTCCGAGGTACCGTTAGTACTGCCGCTACCTTCGTTGCTGGCGCCGTTGCCGTCCGCCGCCATCCACGCCGCCATCCAGGCGGCGTCGAACTCGACGCCGGGAGTCGGCAGGATGCCCATGGCTACCGGGCGCGGTATCGGCATCTTGGCCTTCATGCGGGCCTCCTTCCCCTCCACCAGAACGGGGTCGTAGCCACGCCGCTTTTCCACCTGCAAGGGATGACGGAACAAAAGAGTTCGAAGGGAAGAGAGCGCCTACGCTAAGGTACAAGTGCGAGTCGCCGCACACGTTCCCCTAGACTGACTTTCACCACAGATTTCTCGACAGCTGAGACGCTGGTGATGGTCTGATGACCAAAGATGGTGGTGTGGGAAGAGACCTCTTCGAGAGTTGTCTTGGCGCGTGCCGGCCGATTTTCTCTCACCCTTGGTTGTGAAAATAATCCGTTTCTGAAAAGTCGAATCGAAGGGATGCCCGATGACTCGCACGGTATTCATTCGGGTACAGCAGTGATGAACAAGGTCAACAGCAATTGCCCTTTGGTCCGGGCAGCATACGGACGATAAGGCAGCAACAACAACAAAACGGGATCATGGCAAATGCCGTTGTTTCCGTGCAGCGTAAACGTACAGCCGCCACACCCCTCTTGTTGGGGGCGGCCCTGAGGTCATCGATGACACGTCTCCAAGACCAACAACAAGCCCACACCACAAAAAACGGCGCGTCAGACCACAAACGTTATCGGCGTCCGGCGCCATCCAAGCGATTAGCTAGGAGACAACGATTAGCCAGGAGTGTTTTGCCAAGAGGCTCTCCTCGCTTGCTTCCACGGAGCCTGAGCTCGACGACACGTTTCTCTGCCCCTGGACCACAAATGAACAACCAACGCGAACATGAACACTAGAGATTCTTTGAATCGACGATTTTAAGGAGCGGGGATCATGGCAACCCCAACAGCTCTAACTTGAGAGATATCTAAGAGACTACCCTTGGTGCAGCCGGACTAGAGACCACAGCTGTCGCAGCCAACACGAAAGCCACTTATCATAAAAACAACAAAATTTTCGACTGTCTGCCGTACCCATGGCCTTGTTGCTCCATTACATTAAATCGGCGCTGACAGCATTTCTGCCGGGTAGGCGCGCTACAATCCGTGGTCAGTAACACAGAAGGCATTGCAGAACCAAGCGTCCTGAGCGATAACGGTTCGATGCCAACCGTCACAAGTCTCAACCGTTACAAGTTCGAACGCTCGCTTACCACGAACGTGTCCTTCGTGCGGGTGGGGTTGACCAACCGTTACAAGTCCCAACCGATACAACTTCGACCGCTCGCTTACCACGAGCCTGTCCTTGGTGCGGGTGAGGTTGACCAACCGTTACAAGTCCCAACCGATACAACTTCGACCGCTCGCTTACCACGAGCCTGTCCTTGGTGCGGGTGGGGTTGAGGCGCTCGTCGATGTAGCCCTTCTCCAGCATCTGCACCACGGCCAGGAAGGACACCGCGGCTCTCGCTTGGCTCTTGCTCCAGAAGTGCTCGTCGACCAACACCGCGCTGAACCGAAACCGGCAACAAGAAGGACTCAGCGTTGGCGTACAGAACGCGTTACTGAACAACCTCTTATCGTGCACCAAGGCTCATTTTTCCTGTTTTCGCTGTGGCGTCACCTATTATAGTTTGTAGGGTTCTACATGTAGTCGACTTCGTGAGTTTCTACTTCGTATTTGCACTAAAAAAAAATCCAACCTCTCATGTTCCTTAACGCGGGTGCAGCATGAGAGGTTGTGTACAGCACAACGAGAAAAAATGTATGTCTTCGTCGGACAGCTCTTCTGCGGGCGATGACAACAGCTGCAATAACAACCACTCTCGACTCGAGATAGATGGTTTCGAGGGTATCCTAAAACGAACGCAGAGTGTGCTCCTTGATCAGAGACTCGCCGAAACAATGCGGCGACAGCAGTCAAAGGTCTCTGTTAGGAACGTCATTTGTTCCTCTTGGGGGTGAAACCGCAACTTCTTTCTCGAGGAATTGAATCTTGACGAAACCCACAATCAGCCACAACGAAAGTTTCCTCCCATGAAGGCATTCGCGTCAGATCGAGAGGTACAGTACGGACGTTTGAAGGTACTGGGCAGAGACCGGGGACACTGTTAAGGTGGAGACAACAACAACAACAACAACAACCAACGGCAAGTGAGAGTTTCGGCAGCGTACACACGACGACAAGACAGCCTCATGATCCAACCACACATACGTGTCGATGGTAGGCATGCCCATGAAAGACGGGAGCTCCAACCGGCACTTGAACGAGGGCTCGCGGTACATCATTGCTGGGAATGGTGTAGAAGTGGACATTATCGTGGCCAACCATAGGTCCCGTGGATCAGGAGGGAGGGGGGGCAGCAAGACAGGAGAAAAGGTGTAAGGTAACAGAAAGCTTTCGATTGGCTAGAATGGCGGTGGAGACTAAAATAGCAATACCATTGCCAACAGCATCCCTGCAAAAACAAACATACAAACAGCAGGGGCAGCGACAACAAGGCGCAGACATCACCGACAGAAGCCGAGACACGAGCCACGAAAACATCAGCAACCACCAAAAGGTGCTTCACATGGGCCCGACTTCTCCTCCGCGATGAGCAAGGGGTGGAAGTCGCAGCCGACGGCGGAGAGAGCTTGGTTCATCAGGGGCGTCGCCATGTCCATGTCCACCACGGCACCCGAGCTCTCGATGTGGTGTACCATATTGGGGTGAGAGTGTCGTAGCGGTACTCGGCTAAACGGTGCAGTAAACATAACCGGCGCGAGGGACAGGGGAACATGCCGTTTGGAGGGCCCGTGGAACCATCGTCAGGATCAGCCCGATAGACTTGCTGGACATTCTCAATGTTTGCTGTTTCGTAGCGCCTGCCCAATTCACTGAAATGTTAGAACCAGGGTGCATTATCTACGCTTCACTCCATTCCTCATGGTCATCGCTTTTTCTATTTGGTGCCTCAATACTTACACGCTAGCCTTCTCGTGGCCGAGCTGAAACCTCTTGATGTCCTCCGACTCCATGAGCATGAGCGATACACGATCTCTCTCCCTGTCGTCTCCGTCCTGCAACAACGTAATACACCAGCCATGCCGAAGACAGGTAGGATGCGCTCATGGACGTGAAAAAAAAAAAAAAAGTTATGGAAGCCTCACGTGCGGCGAAGACGATGGCTGGCAGGTGTGCAACGACTTCGTCATAAAGAGCTCGAGCGCAAACAGCATTCGTTCAAGTTTGCCAAACAAAAATAAAAGTAGACCCTTACCTATTGTGCTCACGCCGTATTCTTAAATTGACGAGTTTTTCTGCGTAGATACATCATTTTTTCGTGTGTGGTTGGATTCACATAAAGTATGGTTTTGGGGAAGTGCTTTACCTTTGGCGGGGACCAAGACGGATCGAGAGATGTAAACAAACAATCGGTTTGAAGACCAACACCAATATTGACATCAACAGCAGCAGGCACGGCACACACAACAATATTGACATCGCCAGCAGACCACCGCAACGACGACATTCCCATACCTCGACCATGATGACGAACTTTCCTCCCTTGCTCCTCGCCCTGCCTCTCGTGTGGATAAGGCTGCGGCTGGTCTTGATCTTGTCCATGGAAACGACCAGGTTGCACTCTGGCACATCGATCCCTTCCGAGCACGCGTCTGTCGTCACTAGGATCTGCTCAAGACCAACAACAAACAGGAGAAACCACTCGCGTTTGTTTTCACTTGGATCGGCGAAAGAACATGAGAACACACGCGTCTTGTCTAAAATGTGACATCGACAACAAACAGTCAAGGGAAACGCGCGTTCGTCGTTCACTAGGATCTGTCTTCGACAAAAAACAAACACAGGGAAAACACACGCGTCTATCATCACTGGGACCAGAAACAAGGATCTGTCTTCGACGGGCAATAGACTCGCTTCGGTCTTGATTCTGTCTCTTAAGAAGTAGAGAAAGGGGGACATAAGTCTACGCGTTTGCCGGTCTGTGTGTGACGTCACCCCAGATACTACGGACGTTAGGGGCTACGATTTGTACACATGTGCAACGGGTGTATCGTTTTATGATTATCGGGAAGCATGATAACAACACAGCTTGTGTCGAATGCAGCAACTCCGAAATGTCGGACCGTTTAGTGGAACGCGCGTCTGTCGACGGTTGTCAGGAGGAAAAAAAAAATGGACAACAGCGACGAAGACGTACAATCGCTGTAGCTATATGAGATCGCATGGAAAGATAACACCCCACGGACTTGGCCAGAGGAAGTGCACACTTCCAACCGTGTCGTCTCCATGAGCCTCTGAAACAGCCTAACCTCGAAAGCCACAAAATCGAAAACGACAACGATAACAACAACAATGACATCATCATGTGTCCTCCGACAACCAACAACAGCAGCAGACCGAGCAGGAACGACAAAACTGTACGAGATCTACGCACCTGCACCTCCCCCGCGCGGAACATATTAATCGTCTGCGCCATCCGGCTCCGACCGAAGTCATCCCCTTCCGCCAACCCCTCCCCCACCTCCACCGCTGCCTCCCCTTCGGCGCCCCCAGACAAGCCCGCCTTTGCCGGAGACGCCGCCGCTTCCCCAGCAGCAGCAGCAGCAGCCTTAGCCCTTCTTTGGCGGTCCATGAAACCGCCTACCCCAAAGTAGAGGTCTTCTTCGTTACACTCTTCGGAGTCAGAGCCGGAGGAGCTCTCGTGCTCTCTTGCCCTTGTTGGTTCGGCCTGTTTGCTGTTGCTGTTGCTCTTGTTGGTGCTAGCACCGGTGCCCTCCGCCTGCGTCCAGGCGAAACGAACCGACGCGTCGTCAATTCTCTCCCCCACGTGTATCGAGAGTTCTGGGTTACAACGACTGCCGCACGAACAGGGGCGTTCGTTGCCTTCGAGTACTCCGTCTCCAGTCATGGAGATTCTGGTGTTTACCTCGAGGATATGGGAAACTAAGGCGCTGGAAAGAGATCAGAAAAAATCTACCATATTTAGAGTGAAAGCAACAACGCCAGTATCAACACCATCGCCACGACCACCACCAACAACAACAACAGTAACGACAACAGTAACGACAACAGTAACGACAACAGTAACGACAACAGTAACGACAACAGTAACGACAACAACGCCGACGATGACCGAGCGGTACTTTCGTGTCAAAAAAACAGCAGTGCCAAATGTTGGTTGAGTATTTCAACCGTTACTGTACATTGGGGGGAGGTGTTCAATAGTGCCGCTTTGTGATACGGTGACGCCATAATCGGCTGCTTGTTGGTGCCTCGTCCAGCGTCACGGTAGGCAAGACTATGGTTCGGTAGTCTTACGAAGTTCGATGGAACAATGCTTGCCCTAAACCCACATCGGGAAGTACCTCCGACGCTTTCTACCCAAAGCTGTCGGCGTTGAATAAGCGGTACGAAAGGTAGGGAACATCGATTTCGTGTTCTGAAAACCTCCCGACAAAAAAAAAATCCTAGACCCGTTTAGCCAGAACATGGGCCAACGAACCCGGGCGCTAAGAATGTCTCTCTGTGTATAAATCGTTTTCAACAGCAGCTATCGATCATGTCGGTAGCAGCCAACCAACGCGAGCGAGGGCGGGAAATAGAGACACCTGTCCCCCCGTCCCCTCCCACCTTGTCTTCGGGAGTTCCAACGCCCTCGTTGGCCGTTCTCGGCTCCCCTGAACCCGCACCTGAAAAACCACGGAGACAGGAAACAAACATCAAGCCGTGATGCCGGGGTGGGTGTGTGGGTACTCCCGCAAGACGATGAAAGCTCCAAAGTCAGCAGACGCATCGGGATACGATGCAAGGTCAATGCCTCCGCCCCACAACAAGCGTCCACACAAACGAAAAAAACGGCGGTGCCTGCCCCTCACACCGGCCCTTTTTCAGGTATTTTTCTTGTGCCTGTCCGTGCAAATGAAAACATACTTGATTCGCATGTCATTGTTTTCTTTCGAACCGCGGCTATTACTCAATTTTAATTCTCGAAAACCCGAGGCAAGAGGGAAATGCCAGCCAGGTAGAGAGCACGGCGGACACGTTTCTGCTCCCGTCCTTGTCTACGCCATAAACAAACCTACTCTTACCGGAGCCCTCCAACTCATGAGACAAGACAAGGAAGCGAAAAGACAAGGCCACGAAAAAAAAAAAAACGGGGTCAAAAACCACTCGCAGCAACAGGGGGGGAAGCTGAGAGCTCCGCACGCGCACCTTCTCTTTCTCCTTGCCCTTCACTTCCTCGCTCTTCTCCTCCCCTGCCCTTCTCCTCTTCTTTTCCTCCTCCCTCCTCTCCTGCACTACCCTCCTCTTCTTCCTCTTCTTCGCCTTCCTTAGCGATGTCGTCGGGCAACGGTCGCCACTGCTCCTCGGCCGGGCGGTAGGGCGCGGCATGGCGTTCAGCGCCGCCGCCATGGACGGTAGCGCCTCGAGCGTTGGCGCGGCCTACCACAAACCTGTAACCCAAGTGTCAACGTAGAACACTGATCATGTTTCGCTCCAAGTAACAACAATAATCCGTGCTTGAATGTCACGATAGTAATCATGGTCCTTTCCAAAGCAACAACTATTGCTACGTGTAGCGTTAACCCACAACACAGATAAACTCCGGTGTTTACGTTCTTCCCGGTGCGTCAGAGCATATATCGAGAGGTGTAGGTAAGTGCCCGGAATAGCCGGGACGAAAGCACACACGCACGCAACCAGACCACCCACGCGATCATCAACAACGCGAATAAGGACATGCAATCGTTCACATTCGTTAACAGTGCCAAGAGCACCCCCACATGAACGCGTGAGCGATACTACGGTTAAGCCTTTGTCTCGATCGGAGAAAAATTCTTGAGCATGAACAAACATCTAAACACCGCTGACAGCAAAAGCTAGTATTGCTAGCGCAACCACCTTTATCACCCCCCCACACATTCTCTACGTCTCGGTGTGGGTCTTATGGCTCACCCGCAACAGAAGCGGCCGGCCAGGGAATGGGACAGGAACGCGCTCAGAACCCTGGCAGTAGCACGACGCTCCACAAACACCATGCACCTGTTCGCAACACATCGCATCGTATGGTTTCGCTACATTGGGTGCTGATACATAGCGTACGATTACGGTAGCGACAAACGTGGAGAACATGTTACGTAGCCTTGGACGTAGATACATAGTGTGCGATTACGGTAGCGACAAACGTGGAGACTATGTTATGTAGCCCTGGACGTAGGTGTACGATTATGGTAGCGACGGACGTGGAGACTACGTAGCCCCGCATGGGCGAGGGATGGAAAGCTTGGGTGGCTCGTTCCGCGTGTCCCATGTTCCACGTAAGATAACACCCCCCACAAAAGGATGCTTGCCCCCTGCAACAGAGAACACCACACCCCGCGACAAAAACGATGGTGCGGCTCAACGTGAGCCCAGAACGTAAGCGTGACGTCAGATCAGGCGATAGGGTCAACGATTACATACTGCCACAAAACCCACGGAATACGTGATTATGACGTCATATCAAGCAATAGGATCAAACCACGGAATCAACAACGACGCCGAAGTGTCTTTCCCCTCTCCGGACAGTGTGCCTTGCAAACCCACATAACATAACATAACATAACATAACATAACATGGCCCGTAAGCTACCCAACCCTAACTCCAACAACCCCACACACGTAAGTCTCTCTCCCCATCTTGACACAGACTGACTTCCATCCCGCACAACAGATGACCCACCGGAAGTTCTTCGCCTCGTCTCCCCACTGCTCCGAGACGCGCAGGAGGGTCTTGACGAGGGTGATCACGCGTCCGGGGGTCATGCCCCACTCCGCCGTCGCCGCCGTCGCCGCCGTAGGGGCCACTGCCGCTTCTCCGGTCGCGCCGTCACCGCCGCTGCCGCCGGCAGCTTGCTCCCCGACGCTACCGGCATGAGCGTTGTCGTTGTCTCCATCCTCTTCCTCCTTGCCGTTGCCGGAAGCACCGCCAGCACCAGCACCAGCACTGAAGGTCGCGCTGCCTGCGGACGAACGAGCGCCATCATCACGCTGCCCTGTCCCACCCACTTCTTGTCCCTTTCGCTCCTCTCGGCCACCTTCTCCGTCCCCTTCCATCGGATCGTCGCGGGCCTCGCTGCCTGGAGAGCTGACGGCCACGCCACCGCCGGCGCCGGCGCCTTTGTTCTGTGCCTCAATCCCGCCGAAACCTTTCCCCTCTCTCTCCTCCTCGTCTTCTTCCATGGGATCGTCGGGTGCGCCGCCTTGAGGGTTGAGGGCTACCTTGCCGCCGGGGAGCCCGCTCCCGGCAGAACCACCTTGGCGGGGCACTGTCAGCCCCTGACCGGCATTTTCAGCCGCCGCCGCCGCTGCCACGGCTGGCTTGACCGCGTTTCCATACTCAGCGACGGTGACACCATCACCACCATTAGCGGCAGCACCATCACCGTCACAGACGCCCTTGCTTGCACCACGGCCGCCGCTGCCGCTGTCGTTGCCGTTCCCCACAAGCATGCGAGTGCCGTCGCCCCCTCCGCTCGTCTCCCGTCCTCTCCCTTGGGTGCTTGCTGCAGCGCCGCAACCATTGTCGCCGCCCCCGTCAGCCGCCGCCGCCGCCGCCGCCGCCACCGGTTGCCCAGAGCTGTCCAGCGGAACGGCTAAGGACGAAGAGCGCGGGGCGCGCTCGATCCCGCAGACCGCCAGCCCGAGAGGGCTTTCCGTGAGGTGTTGCGTAAGCTGGAGAACCACCTAACGGTGGATCGATCAACAACGACAAAGGTCCGTCCGTTGCATACCGATAAGATGTTCAACGAGGGGAGGTGGGGCGTGGGAGCAGTGTTTCGAGTGTATTTCGCAGCGGGGGGGAATATGGAGCTTGTGGGCACGGCGTGAGGTGAGTTGAACTGTGTGGTGGGGGACCGGAAAATCCTCGTGGGTAGCAAGCAATGAGCGAGTTCCGAGGGGTGTCTGGCCATCCATTCGCTGGAGAACCCAGGCAGCTTGTCCCTACGTTTCTGAGCACACCAGATGTATGCAAAACCCGACTGCTACTGCCTTGTGGCATCGGGACAAAACTACTCCGTGATTTTTTTTATGTGAAGATGACAACAACAATAACAACAACAACAACACAACACATTATGGCGCGACGGCAGGACAACAACTGCTTTCTGGAGGAACGCTTCGTCAAGAAACCGCTCGAACTCAGAGGAACGCGGACGGCGGGAAGCGAACGCAAGGGATTTGCGGTAAGGCGGAGGGCTGCTGACGCTGAAAGGTGGAACACGGTCCGAGATGTAGAACACGGCCTGAAATGTTGAACACCGTGGGAATTGTGGAAAACGGTCTGAAACTAGGAGCACGTGCTCAAAAGTGCAACCAGGTAAACCACTGAACAGCCTCAGCCAAGGGATGACTGCCTTGAGTCGATGGCGACCATTATTGACCAAAAAGACGGCGGCGTAAAATCAATGCCTGGTGAGTAACTGGCCAAGGGTATTTCGGATACGGCTACAAAAACGCCGCTGCGCCGTTACTAACGGTATGGAGCTCCGGAAAACCGCACCTGCGCACATCAAAAAACGAACAAGAAAAAGTATAAGCGTTCCTGAAACGGCACGCGAGACAGAGGCGACTCAAAAGCGAGATTAGCGTGTCAATCCACCCGCTACATGAACACCTGCTACAACACATACTGTACCTTCTTGGTGCGGGTGATCCTGCTTCTGTCAGGCAGATTTTCCGCTACGCGGCTCCGCAGAAACCCTTGGGAAGAAAAAGATTGGGGCGAAAACGGCGAACGAACCAAGAGTTCATACCAACTCGTCAGGTTCGGTTCTTGACATGTGTTGTTAATCGCGGCTCTTCTGCTCATTATTGTCGCCATCAACGTTTACTGTAGCCTATGTGTAACAGTCTGACTACATCATGTTCGGCGGCCCATTTCCTATTTGACAATCGCGATGGACAGAGAAATACAATTGAGCCTTGACACGAAATGGACATTTTTTACCCAAAGACCCTACGGGTCCATTATGATTTGAGTACACCGTAATTGAGCCTGTGACCACGGGAACGACGTCAAGTGTTAGACGAGTACGGACAGGTGCAGGTATTGGGTAAAGACATTGGAACGGTATATAATGTGAATACAACAACGACAACAACGACAAAAACAACCCAAGGGTGCCAAGCGCGTATATTCTTTTACCTTCGCAGAACATGACAATGTGCCTTATGGCGCACCACAGGCCGAGGTGCTGGTAGGAGAACAGCACTGGCCCTACCACTGCCTCCACAAACTTCTCCTGCACGCGAGCAAGCGTCGAAAAAAAGCACGAAGGAAAGGGTGACATGTCTGTACACCGTAGGCGATTGCCTTGTATTTGCTGTTGCCGATTTGGTGACTAAACTGATAATACAATAGAATACAAGCTCTCTGTATCAAATCGTCAATAAGTACAGGCCCAATGATTGAGCACCCACTTTCCAAAACAATGCACAGGTGGACAGTGAGCGTCACATACCGCCGGTTCTGTTACGGTTGAAAAGTAAGAGGCTAGGCAAGGTTCAAGGAGAGACAACGGTGGCAGATGTAACAGGCGCAGGAGCCGCAGGGACGGCAAAAGAACCAAACCTTGGAGTCTCCGAAGCCGCACATGCTCTCCGAGAAAAGCATTCGCATCAGGGACTCCAGTTCATCCACCACTGTCTGGGAGGGGGTGAATACCTGATCAACAGCATCGCAGGGGGCGCGGGAAAACACTGTTAAAAGAGCATGACCAGCTTGCCCAGCAGTTCAGTGTAACCTGTGGGAGGGAACAAAGCAGGATGTGGGGGGGAGCAGTGAAGACTAAAGACTATGACCTGTCAATTTGTACAACCTAGTCTCTGTGGGAAGGCGTGAAAGTCGGGATGAAAAGAAGCACATGTTTCACCTCATGGCGAAAGGGTAGTAATGCACTATGCAAGGGACGAGGCGACAAAAAAAAAGCCCTCATTCTGCGCTAGCCCGGCTAATTCTTCAAACATATACCCATGGCGTGGATAGGCAACAGAACTTGGTATGCGGCTTTCCGCAGAATAGGGTGTGGTATTGTAAGAGGGTGTGACAGACGCCCGGAGCATCTCGAGGAGGTTACAAAAGCGTTAACAGGCAAAGCTAGGTTTCTCGACCGGCCACACCTCGTAGGAGAGGAGTTCCCAGTCGGCGTTCGCCTGAAACTCCTCGATGAGGTCGTCCTCGCACACGTAGGCCTTGCACTGCAGGACCTCCACGCACTCGATCGTGGGAGACGCGGTCATGCCGAAGATCTGCACATCCGGGAACGGAGAAAAAGGAATTAACAAAAATCTTCCTGTGTCGGCGTTCTCGAAGAAGGCTTTTCAGATCGATGATACCGTTTCTGAGATCTTGACGACACCCTTTCTGAGAGCTTCCGAGACTCCGGGCAGTCTCCAGAGTACGACTTCGCGCGCTTCGAGAGCTTGAACAACAACTATCTTATTTCGCGGGCAAGCGCAGCGGGTGTTCGGCTCGACGACCTTCCCCCGCACGGCAAGGTCAAAGTGAGCAACACCGATCGAAGGGGCCACAACACCGATGGGAAAACCTAACACCCTCCGCATGACGTTGGTACCCCTTGCTCTTGCGGGGAACTCGTTCGAGAGTTATCTACCTTGCCCCCTGCCCCCATTGTCGTACGATGCAGGCCAACTCCTGCACCGGCCAAGCTTTAGGGCTTCCTCATGTGCCATCAATTCATTTCTTTTTGGCATCTCTTATGCGTTACGAGCCTCTACCTCGCTAAAAGGGACCAACAACGAACACGTGCAGTTCACCGGGATCATCTTGGATACGGCAGCTGTACGGTGTTGGAATAGCAGCCACGGCTCCTCGCCCGAGAAATCGAGCATACTCGAGACAAAAAACAAATTTCGACGAAACGTACATGGAAACAGCCCGTGGGGCACCCCCGAACTCGACTAAAGGCCAGGTCCCATTTTCCCGCGCAGTCCCGTCATGAGAGAGGGAGACGGATAGGGAAGGAGCCAAAGAAGACGAGACTACGTACGGCACCAGTGAGAGGTACTCGATATCATAACAGCTGCAGTTGGACCCCGAGTTTACGGTCGAACTCGATGCCAAAGCGTGTCCGTGGTCGAAAGCAGTATAACTGCTAAAAACATTGATGAATCAATCAGGGCGTCCGTTCTGATACGCCATTCAAAGAGCTCCGAGACACAGGTCGACTTGATAATGCATGTAAACGGCTTGATGGCACTGCACACAACACACACGGCCATCGGACCAGCAAAGAGCGACGCACACACACACGCTGGCGGGTTGGGAGCAGCAGCTATAGTCAATCAGCTCGAGTCGACGCACTTTGAACTCCACGTTGGTAGCGAGAGACGAAAAGAAGCATAAAAAAAGCCCTTCAGGGCTGCAGTGAGAAGCCATTTAGCTTCGTTTCTGACACATATCCTGCCACACCCAAGCTTAAACGGCCAATGCAGATGACACTTGTGGCTAGCTCTACGCATGCTGATTCTCGGAAGCTTTACTCCGCCAGCAACGGAGCTCAAAACATTTGTCACAGTGTTTCCAGGCAACATCGCATCAGTTTGGGTGGCGATTCGCCCTCGATAAATCGAGCTCAAAACTTCTTTGGAGTCGTCCGCGACAACATGCACATTTCGTGCTGATGCGGGTCGTTCGGGACCCGAATCGGCGCGAAATGTGCTGGTTGTCGCCAACCACTCTGACAAATGTTTTGAGCTCGAATCATCCGAATCAGCACGAACTCTGTGTTGTCGCAAACCACTCTAATACACGTTTTGATCTCGATTTTTACGGAACGTTGACAGAGTAAAGCTTTCGAGAACCAGCATGGGTAGAGCTAGCCGCACGCGTCATCTGCATTGGCCGTCCAAACTCGTGGGTCGCAGGGTCACACAATGATTTTATTGAAGTAACAAACAGCTAGCGAGGAGAGCAGCCAATAGCATTCGCTCCTAGGGTTAGGGTTCCCCTAATAGTCCTACCGTTCGTCTGTTGCGGTGTGCTCCCATGGACTATTTTCCTGTCAAGAGATGCGAACCGTCCCTCCGATTCACCAGCGGCGTGTGGGTACTTGTGTGATCCGCGCTGGTGCTTTGGCGAGTGCGTGTGTGCTGTGCGCAAGCCGCAATTGCTGCTGTGTGCGTTGCAAGGTGATCTTCCTCTGTTTTTGCTGGTCAACAGCGGCCTTACCACAAGGTCTAATTACAACGCTCCGCCACTTTAATAGCCTAGGAGTTTTTAGAACATGAAAGAACAGGAACATTACACTGGCCGTAGGATAGGTGCCACAACCCTCTACACAGGGCAAAAATATTCCATCTTAAAAAAGAAAATATCTCGCTATATCCAGCACACCGTGGTTCTGAACTGAGTCACTGCATCGCGTAATGTCACTGTCTTTTAGGTTCGTGCACTCGCGGTACAGGACTATGTTATGCTGCTGTGCTGCTGATGCGCACCAAGTGTTGAACTGCTCGAAATAATCGTTCAATAGCTCAAAACATTAGGGGTGTCACGGGGGCAGGGTTCAGGTTCTTTTGATTATTCTTTAACTCGGGAACTATCAAGGTCGCCACCCACTGGTGCAGCAGGGAATGCACATGTGCCCAACGGGTGTAAACATTTAAGGGCACAGTGCCGGGGGAAATTCCTTGCTACTCGCCTTTGCACAGATTGCTACAAATAAAAAAAAGGCCGAACGGTCACCCAACGTGTGCACGTAATGCAAAATGCTAGAACCAAACACAAAATGCAAAATCCATGAGATTCACACCAGAAATCGAAGCGCCACACCTGCTTTAGAGAACCGGGCTCTTCGGCTCATGATCTTGGCCAGAAGGCCACAAATGACGCGAGCTTGGCGGGAACACTCGCGGTAAGCTGATAAGAAAAGTGTCAAGTATCGATGGCCGCCCACCATTAAGGTGGACACAAAGTTGGGGGGCACAGACAGCACCGTGATGTACCTTGGGTAGGGGCCCCTTATTCTTCCTGAGGTCGAGGTAGAAGGCCATGACACGGGCGTATGGATGTTTTTTCCTGGCCTTGTGGCACTCGTCGAAGACCAATACCCCCACGTCCTTGAGCGACAAGTACTCGTTCCCCCGGTGCAGGAGGTTGAGCAAGGCGTTCGGGGTCATCACGAGAACCTCTTTGCTGAGAACCCGATCCGAGGGTGTATGGGAACGAAGAAAATACGGGTGCGGATACGGTAAGGGGGCAAAGGTGTCAGGTAACACTTGTTAATGACGCATGTATCGCTTTCCACGTTCTTTTTCACAACTATCCATTTAAACACAACAACAAAAGTCAGTGGCAAAGTTGATGGACGGCGAGAAATATTCGAGCAGAAGATCACCAGGATTGGCCGAGTGAGTGCCGTAAAAGAGCTGAGTGTGTGCCACAAAAGAGATGCCGTCAGGACAAATATGTAGTGAGCAACAATATGCGCCTAGCTACAGCGGCGCGTTGAGAGTAACCACCTACACGCCCATGCTGAAGACCCGGGGGGGGGGAAGGGGTGCGTACTCTTACGTTTTGCATGCGTTAGCGGTTAGGCTATTGACCACGCGTCCTCGAGAGGACGGAGCATTGTTCCCACAGGACCGATCACCGATGGCCAATCGTTCCTTTCTACTCTGCCAAAGGTGGCTCAACAATGCCTTCCCTAGTCTGGCTATCGTAACGATATCCCTTCCCGCCTTTTCAACCCACCTCCTATGCCCCAGTACAGCTACCGTCCTTTCCTCTCTATTCCATGCCTCAAACATCTCCCTGTACGTTCCATCTATTTTTCCCAGCTCAGTCACGTACACTTCCCTCTCCTTCTTGTACAACGGACATTCCGCGACTACATGAACACGGTCTTCGCATTCGAAGCCGCAATCACATTTGAACTCGTCGTCTTCCTCGTCTACCGTCCTATGTCTTCGTCGACGTTCTCGAAGGCCTATGTCCCCGGTCCTGAATTTGACCTTAAGCTTTGTTCCTGCATCCATTGGTCCATGTAGGTAGTCCTTGAACCCTATTCCTTCCTTCAACATTCCGTACACTTGTAGACCCTCCTTATCCTTGGTTTCTTTCCTTAGATTCTTTTCTTCTCTCTCGGCACAAGCAACAGATATCTTCTCCTTGAACCCCTGTAGACCCTCCGTTTCCAGCGTTTCATCTTCGTCGATGTCGAGCCCCTTCCATACGTCCTCTACAACCTTGACCCATTCCGTGGGTTGTCTACCCCTCTTTTTGTTTGCCCACTTCGCCTCCCATACAATTCTCGGCAACCTCTCCTCTCCCATTCCGCACATGCGATACTGCCATGTCAGCTTCCTCGCGTCTCTTCCCGACCGTAGGGATTGGATCCCCAATTCTGCCCTGACGGCTGCATTACTTGTGCGCTTGGAGCATCCTAGGATGATTTTCGCTGCTTTCGTCTGCGCCGCCTCGAGTTCGTTCACTACCTTCGTATTTCCTTCCCATACTTCTCCAGCGTATAGCGGCGGTACGAGTACGCTCTTCAAAACCGTCAATTTGATGCGTGAAACGAGG